GGTCGAAAAAAGTAACATTAATAATTCATAATATTATAAATTTTATAACATTTAATTCACAGTTAATCAAATAAGATATATTTTTAGGAAATATTTTGCTATTTTGGCAATAAATGTGTTGTCAATCAATTGACGCGAAAATTCTGTAAAAAGTGTAGAATTGATAAATGTTTTGCCATTGGAATGAAGAAAGTGAGCGACTTTTCAAATTCTAATAATTATTAATTACAATAAAAATCAGTGCAGATATTAATATTTAAAAATGGCTATAAAAACCATTTGTATAATACAAATAACTAATATCTTATCATTGATTTCCTAAACAGAGATTATGTCACTCAAAAAGAGAGATGGAAATGATAGCCAAATACAGTCAGATAACAGGCAATGGAAACACTAATACTCAGGTATCGACTGACAGTCCGGCGACGACTGCAATGTGTTTACACCAAAAGGACGGCACCGATAATAGCACCGACAATCAGATGCCGGCTTACATACGGGGCCTTATATTTACATTCAATGATACGGAAAGGCATCGATTGAAGCAATTGTTTTACTCGACCACTTGGTTAAGAGATCCGGTCGTGAATCTAGTGGTGGAGCCGTCAACAGAACCCGAAGTATTACGAGTGCTTCAAATACGGACAGAAATGCATTGCAGGCGTATTATTAAGATGTCTAAAACAATCACTGAATTCAGAGAGCTGTGCGAAAGTGACAAAATTACCTTGTTGAAATCTGGTTCGCAAGAGATTATAACCTTAGTAAATATTTTGTCGTTTAATTTCGAGGGCGAATTCTGGACCGTTTACACTGTAATTAGTGTTAATGTGATTTTGAAATTGTTTTGTATGTTTTAATTATGTGGTTTTGTTTAGGGCTCGGAATGTGCATCTATTTTACATCTAGGTATATTGAAGTATGGCGTTAGGAATCTCTATGATGTTCACAAGTGTTTTATGTGGAAACTTAACCAAGAGTATAATAAAGACATCAATATTATGGATTTGGTAATTATTCATAAACAGCAAATAGTTATAATATCTTAAAGAGTTAAAATCTACTCGGTTATAATTTAATTTTCTATGTTTACAGTTAACAGCAATTGTATTATTTAATCACAATCGGCCTAATCTGAGACAAAAGGACTTAATTAAGTAAATGATCATGCAACAAAATTATATGTTTGATTAATCTCTTAATTATTTAAACAATGTTTGCATTACAGACTTCAAAGGCAGACATTTGTGTATTTACTTCAACGGTATTTAGAGTTAAAACACAACTCGAAAACAGAGGCAGAGATACGGTTCACAAGATTAATGAATTGTCTGCAAGACTTGTATGCATTGAATACCGTATTTGTGAACAATTATATGGAACACGAAAATATGGAAAAGACTGAATTACTCACGGAAATATTATCATGATGACAATTATGTATTACCGTTATAATATCTATATCGATAATAATAATAATAAATTAAATGAAACACAACTATTCGTATATTTATGTAAACTCTTTTTGATAGATTTTTAGCTCAATTTCCTATTAACGCTAATTTAAAGGCAATGAATACCTCAACATTAAATAATCTGCCATTTATTGCTATTTATAAATATAAATCATTTGAATAATCAATAAAATTGGATAAAAATAATGGGAAAATATTCTTAATTATGGGAAAATGATTTTGTAACTCTATAAACTATATAATTAAAATTATTATCTTACAATTTCCTGTAAAGGTGTAGAATAATTGTTAGAGTCATTATATTTAATTAAATAATTGTGGTTTAATGTTTATAATTATTATAAAATTTTTTGCTCCTATTTAAATTTATAAAAATAATTAAATGATTTTTGTTTTTATTACATATAGGAATAATTTTATTTATTGATTTTATTTATTGATATAACTGATATGCAGTTAAATATATTAGAAATGTAATTATAAAAAACTATTTTCAATTTTACGGCAAATACTAACAGAAAATTCAAACAATAAATTTGAAGTTTAGAAAATTAATAAATTTATAAAATGACAAATTTATATTAATAATGGTAGATCACTAGTGACGCCAATTGAATTACCCACTTCAATTGAAATAAATAATTTTTTTATTCAGTTGTTAATACATTGAAATAATATGGAGTTTTAAGCAATAAATTGTTTCCAAAAACGTATGCTTGGATTTAAATATAAAAAAATACTATTTGATTGACATTTTTAACAAATTTTATTTATTTTTGTAATAATTCACACTTGAAATGAGATTTATTAAACTTTAAAGGAAATATTAAAAACTATTTATAAAATATAATTTTAATAGATTAACAAATTATACACTAAATTCTAGGTAAGCAATTACGCCATCTTTCTTACCTTGAGTAGAGTGCTACAAAGTTTTTATAGCTATCGTATGGTTTTCCCAAAATGTCAATGCATTGAACCCTTCATACATAATTTATATAAAAACTTTGTAGCACTCTACTCAAGGTAAGAAAGATGGCGTAATTGCTTACCTAGACACTAAATGATAACAGAGGTGTAACTTATGCTTTTTACCAATTTTAAACTGAAACATCAGGCACATTTTATCATGTTCATAGGTTTACTATTTGCATTGAACGTATTTGCTAACAATTATTAAAACAATAGGGTAGGAAATTTATCATCTTCCCAAAGTATACAATAATTTCCCCATTTCCTATTTTAAATCTAGACAAATTAATAACACAATAACTTAATTTATAAATTAACTCTAATTTTGAATAATTTTAAAAACATATTTAATTTGTTAAGTGTTAATATACAGTAGTTATTTAAATATAAGTATTACTATTAGAATGAGCAAATTATTATGTGTATTGTATGACATACTGTGTTATTTAACATTACTAAAATAACCACCAAGAACAAATACTATCAAATATGCAAACCATTATGATTATTCCAAATTGTCTGTTTTGTTAATACATTACACATTTGTAATAACAACTATATTCTTATCAAAGAATATCTCGTATAAAAGTTAATAAAAGTAGGCATAAAATCACACAAAGATATTGAATATTATGTATGAACTGAAGATTTGGAAATAAGTAGTGACGACAACAATGCTGTCAATCATATTTTAAATGTTAATCAAGTTTTATGTTATGAACGCATTGACAATTTTATACTTTGTAAATAATTTATTATAATTTACCATATATTTATACTATATTTACAATTTTATTATTACATTATACAAATGTACTTTACAATATACCCAATAATAAGTTTGCGTAATAATTTAACCAATAGTTATTATAAAACATTGTGTTTAATGGTCTGTTTGTGTGGACATGTATGCAAATTAAGGTGAGAGCAGCTAAACTATGCATCACCGCAATTGATCCGAAGCTACGATTAAAATATATAGTCATGCACTTATGCTAAAAACTTATATATCAACTTGTTATATTACTTTATGCGTGCATAGAATTTGTGCCAAAGTAGTTGCACCTTCATTAAAATGATAAAGTTGAAGTATTTTCCAAGAAAATCCCATGAATTATATTTGATACAATAACACAGGTGTACCAAGGTGACATGCAAATTGTATTTCTAGGTTATTATAACAATTTATTAAATATTCTCACTTCTAATAGTTCTTGTGAGTGCATTACACGTAACTAAATAAATTGTTTGTTATTATTGGTTCATTGTTGTAAATATTGTAATTATTCTTATATTTTATTTATTATGATTATATTTTATTAAACAAAAAAATAATCTCTTTCACAATGCGATTATGTTCTCAGCCATCGATATTATATCTATGGATACTTTAAGATAAATATTAGTACATATTTCTTAATAAATTTAGTTATTTCTCAATATATTTCTCAGAGTTTTGTTGAGTAAAACATTTGTTGCAAACAGAGAAGGAAAACATTTGTTATTAAATACATTAAAGAAATTATTATTTCATTATTGTTTAAGACATCATTCAGTAGATAACATACATCTAGTGTAGTTTAATTATTTATCAATATATTACTACAGGATTTGCCACTAATGTTATAAAATTCAATAATTATAGATTGACTTTACATTACAGATTTGTGTGCTGTAGCAACACTTGCTGTTACATTCAGTGTTTTTGTACTGTATATTAAGTTTTAAAAAATAATTTAACGTTAATTTGCTATTATTGTTGTTACAACTATTCCGGCCAATAATTATTTGTTTGATTGTGAAGTAAATCTATAGCTTATAATGAGTGATAAATTATGTGCCGTTTGTGGGGACCGAGCATTAGGTATGAGATATTAATTTGTGATGTATTTTATATTAAATTTTACTTTAGGTTAAAATAGTCAAAATAGTTTATAATAAAAGTTAATTGATATAAATTCATTATTTAGGCCATAACTTCGGTGCCCTTACCTGCGAGTCGTGTCGTTCATTCTTTAGGAGAAATGCAAACAGAGCTCAGGTTTTAATAATTTAATCAAGTATTATATTATTGTTACTAATTTATTAAATATTTAATTACAATTAGAGAATATTCTGCTATTTTGGTAATCAATGTGTTGTCAATCAAAAGACACGAAAATTGTGCAAAAAGTGTAGAATTGATAAATGCTTTTTCATCGGGATGAAAAAAGTGAGCGACTATTTAATGCATTATTTTTAATCATTAACTGAATTTAATTAAATCAAAAATGTTATCATAACAGAGATTGATTCATACATACAAAGAGAGGGAACTAATCGCTAAATCTAATGATTTGAAACAAATAAAATATAAAGAGAGAAGTCTTTCTCAAGTCTTGACAGACAGTTCGCCGTCGGATGTGATGTCTTTGTGTCGAAAGTATGGGATGAGTGACAACACAACCAATACTGCCATCAGTCACATCTCAGACATTATACGTGGGGTTATATTTAGTTTTAATGATTGGGAAAGACATCGATTGAAACAATTGTTTAAATCAACCGCTTTTATGAAAGATCCAGTCGTGAAGACTATATCGGAACCGATCACTACTCCGGAAATTATACAAATAATTCATATGAGAAGTGAAATACATTGCATGAGAATAATTAAAATGTGTAAAACAATGACTGAATTCAGGGATTTGTGCGAAACCGACCAAATAATCCTATTGAAGGCCTGCTGTCCAGAACTTATATGTCTCTTAAGTATATTAACATTTGATTTTGTGGGCGAATTTTGGACCGTTTATATTGTATGTAATTTTATGGATAATATAATTATAAATTAAACAAACAATTTATTTAGTTATATATTTTATTTTATGAATTTTTAGTCCACAGAAGATGCTGCGATTTTGAGATTTGATGTTTTAAGAATGGGTGTCCACAATATCTATGATTTTCAAAAGACCTTCATGAATAAACTTAATGAAGAGTGTAGTAATGACATGAATCTAATAGATTTGGTAATTATATTTTAATTATATATAATAATTTATTCATTTTTAGTTATGATATATTCTTATGCTTACAGTTAACAGCAATTGTATTATTTAATCCCAATCGGCCTAATCTGATACAAAAAGATCAAATTAAGTAAATAATGTAACATAAAATTAATTTATATTGGTTAATTAAATGATAATGTGTTGATTTAATTCCAGTCTTCAAAGGGAAACATATATTTATTTACTTCAACGGTATTTAGAGTTAAAACACAACTCGAAAACAGAGGCAGAGATACGGTTCACACGATTAATGAATTGTCTGCAAGACTTGTATTCTGTTGATTCATTATTTGCGAGCAATTATTTTGAATACTCGGGTGCGAAGAGAAACCAATTGATTGCAGAAATATTATCATAATTTATTATTACATTATATTTATAATATAAATAAATTAAATAAAATTAAAACAATGTTTATAATAGAGGTTGTAAATTGTGATTTATTTTAGCTCAATTTCTATTAATGCTTTGTTAATGACAAGAAATCCCTTAATATTATATCATTTGTTATTTATAGTTATTTATTTTGTAAATATAAAAAGTTTAAAATAATTGCAATAAAAATAGTTTTAAAAATGCGAAATAAATGTTATAACTTTTTATATTCACGAATTAAAAATATAAACTTTAATTTTCAGTATAATTGAAGTATAAGTTAATTGAGATTTGGCTGTATTTGAGGTCTCCTTAAGAATAGGTCCGAAAGACTTGAGATAAAATTGGTGTTCATTTTTATTATTGATTTCACAGATATTATGCAAATCTATGAATGAATTTATATAATTTGTTATTTTTCTGTTTCCGATTCTGAGCCGTGTTTTAAATACAGATAGCGTTGAAATAAATATAGATATTATGAGTTAGAATCGACTTTAATTAAATTATTTTAACAGTTAAAAAAAAGTACAAACAAATTATTAGTAAAATTATGAATCATTAGTAATTTATTTTATAAATTATAATTGAAATTAAAATGTATTTAAAATAAATTGACTGCAAATTAACATAACATTAAGTGATTATAAGACGCTCGGGAGGAATAAAACCACAAGTTTTATGACAATACTTCACTCTTTGGGCAAACAGGAGAAATCTTGGTGTCGGTGTCGGAAATTGGGATTGTTTTTGTGCCCGCGTTTGTGTCTCTCGAGATCCCTTGAAACACATGCCCTATACGGACACACATCGCATGCGAATGGCCTGACGTTGTTGTGCCGATTTGTATGACGAGTCATATCGCGCCGATCGCTGGTCTTATACCCGCAGTCCGTGCGCTCACACGCGTACGGCTTCTTTGGCGATGGCTTACAACCGGCGAACACCACTTCTCGCCGATAGAGCGGACGTTCACTTCGGTGGGCACTCGTCGACGCCATCGAGCGCTTAATCGGTGTCCCATTTGAGGCCAAACTTTTGCCCTCAGAACCGCCGCTGCCCTGTGTTAGACGGCGGCTATGGGTACCGCTTGGGCCGACTCCGGCCGAGTTTACGGTCACTTCGCTCTCGCAATCGCTAGACTCGATGTGAAGGGCGGACGAGTAAACCAATCGATAATTGGGATTCTTTTGGTGACAGCGTTGGTGTCGTTTGAGATGCTCTCGTCTACCGGCCCTATACTGACAGCCGGAGCTCTGACACACGTATGGCTTCATTTTCTTGTGGACGGAGTTTATGTGAGACTTAATATGACAACTATTTCTGGTCCTAAACTCGCACTCAGACCACTGACACGCGTACATTGTTATTGTGTTTTGGTTACCAGAGGTGGACACCACTCGTCGCCCTTGAATTTGTTGGGCACTCGTCGTCGCCATCGAGCCATCAATCGGTGTCTCATTTGTGGTCAAACTCTTTCCTGGCGTTTGACGGCCGCTATCGTCACCGCTTCCGGCCCTACTGTTGGATGTGTTTGCCGTCACTTCGCTCTCCGAATCGCTGGTCTCGGAGTCGATGGTTACGCACGAGTTGTCCGACTCAACCCTTTCGCTCTCTCTGTCCACACAATCGCCCGTAGACTCAGTCTTAACGGTCGTCTCGTACTCGGCGTCGAAACTCTGGACACCGATTGTGTCACTCATTGGCTCAGACTTTGCGCTAATATCCACCGACTCTTCGCATTGCTCTTCCGTTTTAACGCATTGCTCACTCGTCGCCGCGCATTGTCTCCGACCGCCGATCAGTTCATCCACTTTATGAAGATTTGTCTCAACGAGTGTTGCCTTCAATGTCCGCAAATTGTCCTTTGATTGTCGTATCGATTCTTCGAGATCTTTGAAAGTTGGGATCTGATGGACATTCAACTCCACGGCTTCTGTAAGCCTTTCGATAGCTTTGGATTGTTTGTCGATTACGAGATCACATGTCTTGCGATACTCTCTCAAGACATTGATCTCATGTCTCATTTCAAACACAACTTTCATGTCTTTGGTTTTGGTGGCAAACATTTTAACGTCCAGCGAATCCATGGCAAGCGATGTCTTCCTCTTCAATCACTTGTGTCCACAAAACAAGAGATGATCACAAAATATGAATCAATGGATCAATTGATTGATGCAATCAATGGTCAAAACTTTGCCGCAAAACACATGCAATTCAGAGAGCGTTTGACACGTTATTTATGGCAATGAATAACACAATAAGTAATGCATGGTTTAAGCGCCAGATTTGAGATTTTTATTACAAAATGAGTTAATTATTAATATTTATTACAAATTAATGCTATAAATCAATATTTTTATATCAATAACTATAATTATAGTCATATTTTAACCATTATGTAATTTTTTACTAACCATTTATACTCATTTTTATAGTAAACATAAATTTTGAAGTATTTACTAAATACATTTTTATTACAGTATCTTTAGTTAAGTTTACAGTATATGATTTGATTATATTTTTATAATGATTTTAACCTAGGAACTAGATTTACTTAATTGTCTCAATTTAACTTAAAAACTTAATAGATGTCTACAGTTATAAATAGTATTTATTAATTAATATAATAATTATTTGTCATAATCAATGATAATTAGCCGCTAATTATAAATATGCGTTTATATATTTCAAAATAATATTACTTTATAATAAATAACATTTTCTCAGCAAAATTTGATATTTTTATTAACTATATATTATATTTTATGCTAATAGTGTATCAAGGTAATGCCCAGTATGTTATTGTAACTATTATTTAAACTAATCATAAATTTATAATATTTAGTGCATATTTCTCAATAAATGTAAAATTTGTGTCAAATAGGATATATTATTTATCAATTTTTCTGTACCAATGTATTGTGTTTTTGTGTTTATTCAATAATTATACAATAAGTACAGTGCATGTAATGGCAATTAATTATTATCTGCTAAATGATTTATATACAAAACATTTAAGTGTGATTTAAGTGTAAAATTTATTGAAATATCCGATAGTTACTATTTTTTAGGTAAACAAATTGCCTAGGTAACAATACTATATTTTAAGTAATAATTATAATTTATAAATATTAAGTGCAGATATTTGTTATAGTTTTTAAAATACAACACCTGGTCATTTTGTGAAATTGGATAATAATTTATTTATAAAAATAATAAGAAGTTTCATTAAACAATTGATACTCTTATTAAAAACAGTATTATAAGAGTAACACCAAAATGAGTGGAAATTATAATAATAATTGTGCCGTTTGTGGCGACAAAGCATTTGGTATGATTTGTAAAATATTTACTATGTAATTATATAATATACCATCTAATAGTGATAACGGGATGGGATCGGGCCGGGAATAGACTTTATTCCCTAATTGATTGGTATTTATGAATATTTTACATATTTTCTTTAAAAACCTTAACTTAAAATATGTGTTTAATTTGTATGGTTTTAACGGACACTAATAACGAGGTCACTCTATTCCATACTTGCATATATTTTATACTAAACTTTTATATGAAATAATTATTTAACAAAATACAATAAAAGATTTTTAAAAAACAATTTCATAATTTTATTTTAAACGTTTTTTCTTATAGAATATGGTTTTACTGATAACTATTGCAATATTTATCGATATTTTATAACTAAATTCTTTGGTATCGTTTGATTCATGACTTCAAACGGTGTCTTGAGATCATCGCTAAACACAACAGTTAGCGATCGGTTGGGCTGTTGTTCGCAGCGCTTAACACATGTGACAATCGATGCGGTGGTCAGTGAAGCGGCGAACAAGACATTGACTTTAGTTATTTGGGGAAAGTTAACGATCAGCGCCTCGAAGACAGTGTCCGTCAAGAATCTGTTTCCCAAGAGTGTCAGCGAC